TTTTTTTAAGTCTCTTTTGTGTTCTCCTAATCGTCTCGGCTGTGGGTCCATCCCCTTTGGCCTGGTCAGCCTACCACTGTCACACATCCTTAAAGAAAACTATCTCTCTGACTCCGATGAGCTGTCACTTGCCACTAGTACCTCAGCTAGGACATGGGCTTCTTGACTACCTCTCCTAGTCATAGAATTCTGTGTTTGTTTCCTGGCACAGGTCTTGCGCATGCTGTCACAAGCACTTTGGATTCATATGTGCAATTGCTCTGTTGAGTCCAGAAAAGGGTTTCCTTGAAACCTCTACTTCTGGCTCTTAAATCTTTCTGCCCAACTTCTGCAATCATCCTTAAGCCTTCATGGGAGAGGGTGTGATTTAGGTGTCCCATTTAGGACTGAGCACTATGTAGTCTCTTATTCTCCATGTTGACTAGTCACAGACTTCTGTGTTAATCACCATCTGTTGAAAGAAGAAGCTTCTCTGCTGAGAGTTGAGAGATGCCCTAAACTATGGGTATAACAATAAGTCATTAGGAGTCAGTTCAGTACTATGCCTGTTTAGGAGAATAATAGCATTGGTTTCTTCCCTAAGGCCTGTGAATTTTCTAGGTATAGGTTCTTGGTCCTGATAACAGTGCCAGGTAAGGACTTAATCTTGTGAAAAAGACCTTAAATCAAATCAGAAGGTGGATTTGAACCCCCATAATGTTCCTGTCAGTATTGCACTAGTGGGCATATCTTGCTGGGTCAGTCATTACTATAGCACTCAGGAGTCAGAACCAGGGAAGGCTGAAGATTGCTTTTCTCTTCTGGTAGCATACCCAGCAGCTTCTGGCACTATGAAAGCAAGTCCACAGAGATGAAGCTTTGAAGTCTGGACCAGATTGATTTTCAGTGTTTGTTCTTCAACTCACATATGAGTGTCTTCAGCAATAGGGTCCTACCATCAATTTCTGGTGGGTAACCAAGAGCAATGGCAATAGCCAGGAAGTCTGATGATCTATTGTATCCCCCAATCAAAAACTCCAAAAGAGGGAGCTCATTCCTGTCACTGAACTTTTAATTTGCTAGCCTGTGGTGTTTGGTAGGGGCATCATTCCCCAGTTGTAGGGTAACTTCATTTAAACATTTTATAGTCTGCCTGTAGTCCCAGCTAGCAAGGAAATCGCTATGTAGATCAGTTTGGCCTTGATCTCATGGAGATGCACCTGCCTCTGCCTCCCGAGTGCTGTGCTGGGCTTAAAGGCATGTGCCACGGTCCAGCTCTGTAATGTACATATTTTAAGAAGCTCCTATATCAATACATTTCCATACAACATTTCAAATGGTTCTTGGTGTTGGCTATTCTTCTTCTGACTCTCTCCTTACCCTGCCGTCCTAGCTTCCATCTCCTGTTTAAGCATTATTGTTCCAATGTTCCACTTTCCTCCCTTTGTAGCACTGCATCCCACCTCCCCTCCCCCTTGAGGATTCCCGGAAACAAATCTAAAGAAGCCCTGCAAAACTCTGCGTCTCAAGAAATAATGTGAATGGAAATACAATTTTATTCTGATATAATAATTTGGAATTCTTCATTTACGATGTCATTCCTGCGTGGGATGTGTCTTCCTATGGAGATGAGGGATTCTATGAGAGCTCAGGAGTGAAGCACCTGTCCTGTACCCAGCGTTCCCTGCTGCAAGGACACTGCTGCAGCCTAGTGCTCCAAACAGCACTGATTTGCTGTCTCGTGGTCATTGGGATGCAGGAGAGGCAGAAATGTATTCCCTGCTCCAGCTCTCACCCAGGCAAAATTGTCAGCTAGAACTTGGGATTGCTCTCTAAGCTCCTTTAAATTTCCAGCAGAATCTAGTTCATTGATTTTTACAAGAACAAGGTCCTTATAAAGGACCTTGCCTGTTTACAGGGGTTTCTCTGAGCTTCCAGCAGTCAGCTTTTAGACTTGGGTATGTGCTAACGACCAACACGGTTACTTATCTACTAGGTAGGAGAGGCTGTTCCTATCTCACTATTTGGAAGAGGTCCTGCCTGGCCACCCATTTCAAAGTGATGGTTGTAAAATTAGCTGATTTAAGGATCACACCTGCCAAATCCCCTCACAATGATGTACATAGCAATCTCATCACAGTTTTAAATCCATTATAGTTATGGGTTCAGGCTACAATCAAAGACTACAATATAAGGTAATATATTGGTCTTCAGGCAGGGGTAGGGTCATCTAAGAAATATCCCTACCATATTAGAATTTATTCTAAGGTTTAGTGTTCCTTACTTGACTACGATGCAGGCTTTTCTATGCTGTTTAAAGCAATGTGTACCTCTAGGTCCCTACGTGAATGTGACTCACAGTCCAAATCAGAAGGTGCATCTTCAATCTGATTTGTATTTGTGCCAATTTTGCAAATTATTGCTATGTTGGCAGCCTAAGAATCTAAACTGCTATTAAACAGTGCTCTGTTATAACACTGATATCTCAACTACCGTTTCATAAAGTGTGTGTTTGAAAAACTGTAACTGAGTTTATGAGACGATAAGAAATGTAAATGGGAACATTAAAAATTAAGTGCCAAACTGCCTGGTGTGGTGGCATACACCTTTTATACTGGCTTTTCGGAGGCTGAAGCTAATCTGCGAGGTTGAGGCCCGTCGGGTCTATGTAGTGAGTTCAGGCTAACTGGAGCTGCAAGGGAGAGCTTGTTTCAAGAAAAACTTAATTGTCAAAGGCAAAAACAGATTTACTGTATGGAACACACAGTCTGTTGACAGGTCCTGAACTGCTTTACCTCTTGAGGGATCAATCCCCTTCCCCTCAACAAGACTGAACTAGTGATCTTATCAAAATGTCATCATTCTTGTGATCATGAAAAGAAACATTGAGACACCACCACTAATGTTAACTTGGGTGCTTACTCTGACAGCTCCCCTTAGGGTTGTAGTTAGATCCGAGGGCTTGCCGCTGACAAAAGGAAGCGATGGTTATTACAAAATATTCTTTCCTATTTTTCTTAAACCCATTTCCCCAAACTGTGTTCTATAGAACTTAATAATCTGAATTTGCTGTTTAGAAACTGTTCTCTTATTTCTGTTTTGATGACCTCAGAACCATGCATGTGCATTCATATGCATGGCTGCCTCAGGGCAAAGCCAGTACATTCAATGTATGAATCTGTTGCTTCTATTTTGAATGCTCATAAGAATTTGTTTTTTATTTTTTCTCTTTCTGCATCTAGTCTGCTCTCCATGATGTTAAGATTGCCAAAGAAGTGACCTCAGCCAAGGGAAACACCGCTCTACCTAATTTCAAGTAAGAAGTCAAGTAAGGCAATAAAATATCGTGGATGGATTAATGGGAAAATGACGTGGTTTTTTGTTTGTTTGTTTTTCTTTTTCTGGCATGGTAAACATAGCTGAACTATGAATATGTCCTAAATTTAGTAACAGTGTAAGGATGCGTCTTCCTACAATATGCCTTGAAAGGATGATATTGGATGTACTATTTTCTTTTAATGAATCATACGTGGGAAAAGAGATAAGTATTAGTTTCTTGTGTGTATATGTGCATATTTGTGCACATTTTTTGTGTGTACACATGTGCATGTATACATGTGTGTATGTTTATGGAAGACAGGGCTTAACATCAGGTGTCTATGTCAACTAATCTCCACTAATCACTCTCTCGGTGATTGCTGACCTCACTGATTTAACCAGCAGGGATTCCTTATCTCTGTCTCCATAGCTAGCACTGAAATTACAAAACACACTGTGATGCTCAGGTTTCCTACATGAGTGGTAGGAATCTGAATTCAGGCCCTCATGCTTATGCAACCGGCTTTTAGCAACAGAATCATCTACCTATCCCTCTCAATTAGTTTCTGAAAAGCCAACTCTATGAAGTGTGGGACCAGACACCTACTTAAAATAAGAACTGGATTCAGTCCCACCAGGCTGATTGTTCTGAAGAAGGGAACATGTGCAGTGTCCTATGGGCAGACATAGCAAAGACATTTTGCATGGTTCATAGCAAGGGAGACTGAGGATTGCCTCATTCTCTTTCATTTGTTCAGTAGTGAATTAGGAGAAAATTAGTAAAATAGTAAATACACCTTCAAAAAGGGATTCTGACTCTGCAGGTTGAAGCAGGTGAAAAATCTGTGTTGTCCCTGCCCTTATGCCAAGACAAGTGTCCCATTTGGAAGGGATTAAACACTACTTGTTAGAAAGGAATCTTAGTTACTACGATGAATATACCACTGAGTTTATTTTCTAATACAGCCCCATGGTATTTTTGGGTTCTTACTTTGTGACATTCATGATAATTAGGGAATTAATTGTTTTCTGTAGTGTTTCAAGGAATGCTAATACTGAAACTATATTGTATATGCCGATTAAGTGAATGATGCTTCAGTGTAATATAAAATTTCAGGAGTGTCTCTGTGTTATGAAAACCATAGTAGTTTTGAACTGAGAGCATGTATAAGATTGTCTATGAGGGGAGAGCCCAGCCTGGGTTCCCTCAGACTGTAGTCATGTTGAGAGGCACTTGAGATTACAGGCTACCAGGTCTAAGATTACAATGCTTAAATGCTTTATCAGTTGTTAGATGTGGAAGAGATGCTGTTCCATGCTTCTCATAGTAGAATTCAAATATGGATGGGTAGCTAATAAACTGATTCATGTTCCCCACTCAGTGGATCCTTAATGATTATAATTCCTCATTTTTAAGTTGAATGTAATTCTTTTATCATTCAAAATGACTCAGAAGACTCTAAACCTCATTGGCCTAAGAAACTTCTTATGAATGCACGTAATCATGTGTCTGCCTCAGTTAATCTCCATTTTATTTTTTGATTCAGGGTCTGTCAGCGAATCTGGACCTTACCAATTTAGTCAGGTTAGCATAGCTTTCATTATAGCTTTCATTATAGTTAGAAGTTTTCATCAAACAGAATCTAATAGCCCAACAGAGAATTGAAAGTGAGAATTTTTGTTATTGGAACAGGAGTAGATAGATGATCCAGTATTGCCACTTGGCGACTGCATTCTCTCTTCTGCATCTACCCTACCATCTTCCCAGGCTCCAGACTAAATGAACATTGTTGTTTCTTGATCCCTGTGAATCTAGAACTTCTCAGCCTTTTGCTTAGAAGACCATGGAGAAGACTGAGCTGAAAGACACAGGGCAAATCACAGAAATGGGCTCCTGCACTGCCAGACATTGCATGCCCTGCTGCTCTTACCTCACTGCTGTGCAACAGCCACTCAGTGTGTGCCCAAACCCAGTATGCTAGATGTTGTGATTGAAGCCTACTAAAGAATACAGTCTATTATCCATATTTTCATTCTCCATGTTTCCATTTTCCAGAATTTTAGTTACCTGAAATCCACTGCATTTCAAAGTATGTTTGAACGATTCTCCAAGTAAACAACTCATGAGCTTTAAATGTTGGAATGGTGAGAGTTTGTACCATTATACTCCGTCCGATCTGGAACAAGAATCAGCCCTTCATGCTGAGCATTCCCAGAGTAAACTATCCTCATGGTAGTGACTCTACAGTCATGATCCTAGTGCTTATGTTCAAGTAGAACATGTTTCACTCATTAATCAATGGGTCCAAAGTACAGGGACGGTGATGATGACAATTTTATTACATTGTATTGTCACAACTGTTCTGTTTAGTCATTGTGTATTGTTAATGTCTCACTATACCCAATTTATTAATTAAACTTTAAAATAGGCTTGTATATGTAGAAAACATATATATATATATACACACACACATACATATAGGATTTGCTATAGTTACAGTTCCAGGCATCTAATGGGTGTACAGGTGCTTATTCTCCATTGGTAAGAGGTAAGACTTGTACATGTTATACACATGGAAAGGGAAAAAGCAGTTTTAAGAATGCAGTGAGATTTACTTGGTGGAAGATCACATCCTCAAAGCATGTTCTGAAAATTGCAAAGGATAGTTTGCATTGTGTTGTTTTGAGCTACGTGGGGATATATTTCGAACATTCATCTCTCCTCTTAAGTGTGGATCTTGTATCCACACATTTAATTCCCTTTCATACCTGTTCATACACAAAGTCAGCCTTGCTCCATATGTGAATGGAATGTGGCCCGTGAGGAACACTGACAGCTTGATCAGGGTGTCAGCAGCCTTGGCTGGGCCCCCTGCCCTCCTGCGCCCCTTTGGGTGGCTAGAGGAGCGTTCATCCTTCCTCGGCATCATCTCAGTACCAAAGCAAGATTGTTCGAAGCACTGAATATTTGAATTAGCAAATTTCACATTGATGCTTTACTTTCCTGTGCTGCAGGGCTGTTTGTACCACCTGCCTGTCTTTTCGTCTGTCATACTATAATCTGTTTCCTCTTCATGTGACTACAGTTGCTCACATGATGTAACTTGTCTTGGCCCATTTAACTCCAGTATTGCTTGAGTTGTCAGTCTTCTTGAGCGTCTCTTAATGACTTTATGAGTCACAGGTTTTCCTAGGAAAACATCTCTATTTCTACATTTGCTGACTGTGCTGTTCACCTTGGATAAAGTGACATAGATCGGATGCAACCAAGCTTAGCCTGGTGCCCGGCACTGCCTGTCTGTCCTGTGCAGCTTTTCTAATCTGCTGTGACTGATGGACTATGCAGTTGCCTTGCTGGCTGGATCTGACTAAACTCCTTGTAGTGATAAGGGACATAGCTTCTGACCTGGTGTGGAAGGTTGTCGAGACTACAATTATAGATGCTGACTTGCACTTTAGTGTTTGCTTTATTTTGTCTCTGTGAAAGTTTAAAGATAAAAACCATCGTATCTCTTTGTGACCTCAGAATTTTTTATCCTGCCAAAATACTTAAAAACTGAACCAATATTTCAGAAAATTAATAAGCTGCTGATTGTAACTTAGAGTAATATTTTCTGTATTTTAAAGATTTTTTCCAAGTTAATAAAAGTGGCTACACACACACACACACACACACACACACACACGTACTTCTTTTGTAAAGTCACACTACTCTTATCTCTCTCCTCTGAAGGTCAGAGGAAGTTGACTTTGTGGAAGTACTTCTTATCTATTTCCTCACTGAGTAGATTAATCTAGACTACTTTGGGACTTATTAAATTCCTTTCTTCTTAGGAAAATTTGGTCAACAGCAGGTTTACACAGATGAAATCCACCACTGGCGGCCTCTCAGAACAGAAATGGTGTTCGATTGTCCTTGCAGATTTACAGGAACATCTTTAGGTCATGATCACATACCTTTTGTAAGAGGAGACAAATAAAAAAAAAAGTTTCTTAAAACATCTTCTGAGTCATTGAATGTTGGCTGAGGCTTCAAAACTGAAGAGCAGAATTGGAGAAACCCTGGAACAGAGTAATTAAGATGATGGATAGATACGGTTTCCCTGTGCAAGGGGGCCAGCTGGATATACCTTCAGTCCCTCAGCTGCCCACTTCCCATATGCCTGCTGCTTTCACTGCTTTCACATTAGTGTGTTCTGGTAACAGTGCATAGTGCAGCCATCACACAACCTCAGCTTAAGGCAGGCCTTGCTTTCTAGCAGCCCTGAATCTCACCTCCTGTGCACACCAAAGCCATTCTACTGTACAGCCTCCATTATTCACAGAGGTGGAAAGGCTCTGGTGGCCAGGGCACATGGTCTACCTCAGAGGCAGCCAGGGAACATGTTCCACCTCAGCTGGGCCACAGAAGCCCTGGTCTGCTCAGAGGAGCTGATTATCCAGGACACCTGTGGGGCCATGGAGCTCAAGAATCAAAAGGCTGGCAAGTGAAGCAGAGGAAGTCTGTAGCCTTAAAGGATCCAGACAGACAGAGGACCTCGGGATTCAGCAATAATCTCCAAAGCCACAATCCTGAATGTTGAAATCCTGAAAGGTCAAAATCCTTAATGTCTAAAATGTCAAAACTATCAAATCCAGAAAGATCAATTCTTGAAAATATAGTTGGAGGAAAATAACCGTTTTTGTTTTATTATATTTATTTATTTTAATATTTTATTATTTTTTATGTGTATGAGTGTATTGCCAGCACATATGTAAGTGCACCTGTGTCATGCAATGCTGCAAAGGTCAGAAGAGATCATCAGGTTCTTAGCCTCCTGGAACATGCTCTATTCTTCAACTGTAACAATAGTAGTCACACAAACATGTTAAAAAGACAAGTCATATGCAATGAGAAATAGATTTAAAAGCATGTCCCTGCAGTTGGTCATTGTGTGCAACCAGCTTTGCCATCTGAAGTATCCATGGTGTGATCACAACACACAAGTCAGCACCAAGATCTTGAGAAAT